TTTATTAACAGCAGCTAGATTAATAATAGCTAGGAATTGAAAATCAAAGTCTGGATTTCAAATGGAAGAATGGTATAATGAAATATGGAACATTGCTATAAATGGTAAGTTAACTTGTAACTTAAAGGTTAAGAAAGGAGAGATGAAAAAGAAGAATTTCTATGGGGCAAATTTCTTGAATATGTGTTAACAAGAGGAAAAGTGAAAGCTCCAAATCAAGAATCAATGCAGTTCTGGAGAAGAGGACAATAAAGGAAGAAGAAGAATAGATAGAGGAAGAAGAGGAGTACTGCAAGCGGTCCCAACTATGGTGGTGGGGAACACAGTCAATCTGTATTTTGGTTTATTTATTTTATGTTTATGCTTATGTTTATGTTGTAGTTTAAGAAAAATTTTAAAAAATTAAAAATTAAAAAAAGAAAGTTTAAAAAAACTCAACAAAGCCTGGCTCCCAGCACTGAAAAATACAACCTGCAAAAGGTCAACAAACTCTACCCAGCCACAAGGACCAGTGATCACTGCACACAAAAGACCAGCTAACAACACCCATCAATCACAGTGACAGATCATCTCTCCCCCCTTGTCACAACAATACATCCACAACAAAAACACACTGATCACCATAATCACCCAATCTCCTGAAAAGGACAAAAGCTGTTCCCACAGCTATAAATACTCAACTATTCCACAAAATTGCACCAGAGCACAGATGGAGTTCTGACTCCTGTCCTCTGAAGATGCCGGCCACAGAGACTGGTGAAACGTTAGGAAGAAAAACCTTAAGAACACGTCCAAACAGCCCAAAAAAACCACAACAACTATTATATGCTTTGTGAAATAAGATGATTTGTATGGCACAATGTCCAAAACTAACCTTTTTCACTCTTGTAGTTGTTGCTGATCATTGACAAAGTCTGGAACAGTTTCACTGGCTGCTTGAACAAATCATTACAAGTGGTTTTATTTCTTTGTAAAATGATTTATCTTTTGTAAGAAACACTTGGGGAAATTTATTGAGTTCCTCAGTGTTTCTAAAATATTTTGTAGCTTAAGACTCTTGGCTCATCTTTAAACATAAGTAATTATAAAAGGATTAATAATGTTTAAAGTGTGTGCAGCCACCTATGAACAAGAATTTAGAAATTCTTTAGTCGGGTATAAATCTTTTTCACTTTGTGCCGTGGGTATAATACCTTTCTTTGAAAGGCACTGTTCCTTGATTCCAGTTTTGGCTCTCAGACAAATCAAGTGACTTGGTTTTACCTGTCTCTTTTGGGGTCTGCTGGTATGAATGCAATCTATTATATAGAGATAGATACACTCAATATTTTGATTTAGACTTCATTAGTTCTAAACTATTAGAGCTTGCAGTAAGAGACAGTTGTTGTTTACTGTTACTTTTTTATGGTTTTATATATACGAACACCATCTGTACATTTAATAGCATTTGTAGCATGGATAATCGGAAGCATTACCCACATTTTCTTTCTTACGGTCAAATTAGAAAGGTGTTTTCTTCTCAGTATTATTTAGACTTTAGATACATACAAAAACCCACTAGAATTCTGTTGCCTTGTTACCCGCCAAACCTGGGTTCTAAGATTCTCTGGTAAGGTATCAGGCATAGACACAAACAACTAAATCAAAGGCCCAATTTTATCTGAATAGCAGCAAAGAAAATGTCAGCTGGGATTTATCTTAAAGCAGAGAAGACCCTGAGAAAACAGTGTTCATACGTTTTATAATGATACAAAGAGCAATAAAAGTACTACAATTCTATTGGTCATTTGTGCCCCGAGTTTGGATCCAGTCCCTCATTGGGTAATGATTCCAACTAAGTTAACCTATTAGTTCCCTATAGATATGCAGATTGTGTGTTCATATGTCCTTTGCTTATGCTCAGGAAGCGTCTAAAAGTCTGGAGAAAGAATCTTATCTTTTGGTGTGTCTATGTGTTTCTTTCCTGGGCCCTGATATATAGTCTTCACTCTCCGGCTCCCCTGCTGGTGATGTTCCAACTATCATCACCTGGTTCCTCCTTGGCCACATTCCTTAGCTAGCCATCTGCTAGATGAAAGGTGAAAGGATGCAGGGAAGAGTAACTAAAGAAAAGTCCTATACTATCTGTGAATGTTCTTCTGCTAAGGGTTATACTAAAATCTAGTTAAATTATGCTCCGGTACCAGCCTCTCCTGCTTACAATATGTATCTCCTTTTATGTATGTATGTTACCCTAGAAATGCAAAGCTTATAAATGGACTGATCGGATAGTTGCCCAGTCTTTGATCTGAACTCTTGCTCAAAACTTGTTGCCTTGCATCTTCACTTATGAAGAAGGGATTATTGCAGCGTCCTTAGAAATTGAGCATCTGTGACCTAATCTAACAACATGATCCCTGAAAATCTCTGGAGATGAACACTATGCATGATGTGCATTTTATGAAGGTTGAAGGTGTGTGAAAAGGCGTATTGGCATTAAACTGCTTGCTTTAATCTAAAGAGTTTACATATACTTGCTGTTGTAGGCAATTCTATGCCTTTTCTGTTCTGCTTTGAAAATAATTGATACGAACACTTGTGCTAGAAGCAAAATAGAAATTTCCTGAGTGGTGTTTTTTATGTAAGCAGAAGCTGAGATGGGATTATGGCATAAACCCAGAATGAACTGACTTCCTTTGCATAGAAAGTGCAGATAAAAAGGTTAAAGGTTCTTGCAATTTATATTTATTGCTTATAACTTCTTGTTGGTATATTAAGTTTGTTTTGTCTCATCACATTTGTTCTTTGTGTTTTTCTTTTAATACGCAATGTACACAAAGCAGGTGACTGGTATGGTTTAGATGCAAAGTGACATGCTTAATACCTCCAAAGGTGAGAAGTGATAGATAGCTGTTACAAACTGGTTTGGAACCTAAGGATGGTCTGCATCTTAACCCAAGAAGAAACATTCTAAGGAGCGTAACACTGATTTAAATCTGAACTATGTTACTTCCCCCAACCCCCATCCCCCTCTTCTGTAGGTTCTCTTACAGAGTGTTACGACGAACTGGGAAACAGATACCAGCTTCCTGTCTACTGCCTTTCCCCACCCATCAACATGATAGAAGAGAAGGGTGACCTAGAGACTCTGGATATTCCTGATCCACCACCAAATTCCGGTCATGAATGCCAGCTTCGTTTACGCCTTTCAACAGGAAAAGACCTCAAACTTGTGGTTCGCAGTATGGACACTGTATATCACATGAAGAGAAGGCTACACACAGTGGAGGGTGTGGAGCCTAGCAGTCAGCGGTGGTTTTTCTCAGGCAGGCCACTTGCAGACAAAATGAAACTGGAGGAGCTTAAAATACCAAGGGACTATGTGGTACAAGTCATTGTAAGCCAGCCCTTAACAAACCCCATCCCAGTGGAGAACTGACTTTGTCTGTACTGTACTCCTCTCTTTTTTTTCTCTCATGTTTCTATGATGCGGGAACTTTTTCACATTTTTCATTCTCCCCTGTTAATGGATTGGTTCCAGGCAATGACCAGAAGAAATTCCATCTGTGATGGAGCTGTAGGGAAATGCATGTGTGCGCACGCACACACATACATGCATGCGCACGCACATGCGCACACACATGCACACACACATACTCCTATCACTGGAGACTGCTCCCAGTTTAGTATTTCTTAACACCACAGTAAGAAACTGTTTACAAAGTAAAAGGGGAAATGAGTGTCAGAGAGTAAGTTCACAGTTTAAAGAAGGTTACATTTAAAAAGTACTTCGAATTGTAAGTGAGGTATTGAAGGGGCAAAGCACTTCTTAAAGAAAGCAAACAAATATGAAGTATTTCATGAATCCTCATCACATATAGTTCAGCCTACCCCACAGGGTAGCTGCTCTGGTAAATCTAGTGTGCTGATAGGAATTACTCTTACTATGGTTTCATGTAACTGATTCAATAAGGCTGCTTCGTAAGAAAGGGCAGTGAGTCTAGGAGAGTCTTTGAGGTGACCTGTGATAGTTGTCTAGTTTATCCCAAACTTCAGTTTTGAAAACAGGTCTTGGTACATTCCAAATTAGCCACTGTTTTCCCACTGCTGGGTTCAGCACAGGGGTAAATACTGACTTTTGAGAATATAGGCAATAATTTAATAAATAAATGGGATTTCTTGTACACTGTGAAGCCACAGGCTGCAAACAAATTTGTCCTTCTGACTACTGGGTATAGAAAGGGGGCCTACCAAATTATTACATACACTACATCTAGTTGAAAAGTGAATTACTGGAGGAGCACCAGCATCAGAAATAAAACAGGCACAGGATCTCTTGCACTGATTATTACTAGCGTGTAATGTTTTAATCCCCTTTTTCAGTAGCTGTGAACAAATTACAGGATAATAGTGCCAGAAGTTTCTGATGCTATACTTTTTGGTAAGTTAAGGGTTTGCAGCTTGCGTAATAATATATTGCTGTTCCTTCCTATTTTAAAAAATATAAATTTACTTGCCATAGCTGGGCTCAAAGGTATCTTTTTCAGTTAATGTAGAGAGAGAGGTGTATGCTTAAATTTGAGGAACTGAGGCTATCAAAACAGTGTGGATCATTTAAAAAGAACTATGCCTATTTCTTATTTGGAGTCCCTAAGCTTTCGGTTACCATTGGTTCTGTCTCTTGTTTTTAATGTGGTTATACTGTTACCATCACTATTCTCGATATTACACAGCATTTTTTTCTTGCATCCTTCTGACTGCTCATCAAGCCTCCTTACATGTGGCTCTTCAAATTTATTTTGATCTGTGCGTGAAACTGCTATACTGACAGTTCAATCCAGGGTGGGTATCTTCTGTTGAAAGCGGCAGTTCTTTGGTGATGTCTAGCTAACCAGTGTTAGTTTAATTATCTTTCTATGTTAAGTGGGTATAAAATAGTGAAATCTTGAGTAGGATCAGATGGTGGAACAGCACTTTCCAGCAGAAGGAGGGGGGGTCATCTTCCTGTTTCTATGCTAAACCCTGGACACCTGCAAAACTGTCTCTGAAGGGCTGAGAAACTCAATGAAGTTTCACTACAGGCAGGATTTATAAGGTGAGGCTTTTTAAAGAGAATATATGATGGCTTGATCCCCTCAGGGTTTGTTTTGGGTTTTGTTTTTGCTTATTGTGGGGGCAGGTTGGGAACTAGGCTTCAGATTTGGAATCACTTGCCATATGGACATGAATGTATCATTACAGGTCATAACCAAAGTAGTTTTTAAGGTAGTGTCTACTACTGTCTGATCTTTCTGTGAAGTTTTGGAGCCTGAAAGTAATCAAGATGCCTTGAGAGCACTTTACTGCAAACGAATGCCTTTTCTTTTTCAGCTATTTAGTAAGCTTCCCCATTTCTCTTGGTAACTATACTCACTGGTTCTTGCAATTCAGAGCAGGCACTTCATAGATGATACTCAGTATGATGCAGAACATGAATTGGGCACTAAGATTATTTATTAAAGTGTTGATTGGGATAGTTAAAGCAAAATTTAAATGTATTTTGAATGTTCTCCCACATATTGAAAGGAAGAGGCATACTGACATGCTGCACAAAACTTTGAGAACTGTCTTTCTTAGAAAGGCTTTTACATTTTTGTCAATTCACTTGGTACTGGTACATTTTTTTAGTCTTTCTTATCAAGGAATATAAAGGATATTTTGTGCAAACAATTAAAAGAAAAATTCTTGCAAAGCAAAAGGGGTTTTATTCCCTCCCCTCTTCCTAAGACTCTTAAGAAAAGGCACAAAAATAATTGCAGTTGTCAAGAATTAATCAAGCTGTAAATGGGCTAGTAAGTTTTTAACTACTGTTTTCAAGCCATATTTTTTATATCAGAGGGAATTCCAGATTTCAGGAGTGAGAGCTCAGTACAAAGCATGGCTCTCCGTAATTTTCTTTTCTAGGAGGCACAGGTCAGGCAGTAACTGTCATTAGTGTTCATTCACCCACCAAGAAGAACAGACAAGGTGTGTATGAATGAGTGGTGGCAGCTGCTCTCTGCCATTCTTGCCACTGGCTCATCCATGCTAGTGGACAGGTAAGCAGTAACAGTAAGGAGCATCTACAGCTGCTTCTCCTCTTCTTTGTAGAAAATAAGGTTTACCCTGTTGACCTCTACTGCCCAGATCAAGTGGCGAGGTCCAGTGACAGTGATGGTAGCTGTTGTGACTCCTTACAGGGTGGATCTTGGGGCCACAGCATTTTAATAATTGAGGAACTTTAACAGCTGGAAATTGCTCTGCAGGATCAGGAAGAGTAACTAGAGGACGTCTGAATAGCTCCTCCCTTTTTTAGCACTAACCAGAGCTCAGTTTCATGAATACACTGCAAATCTGTTTATGACAGAGTTGAGCTTATTTTTTAAAAAAGGAAAATATTATCATTATCTACTGTTCTAAAGATTTACACATCTTCCTCTTCCTATTTATTTCTGTAGGAATAAAGGTATAGTTTTAAATTACACTCTATAAAGAGGTGACAGCCAAAGGGCCAGATACTTCTGCCCTAGTAAATGAGGGAGTTCCGCTCCCAGTCCTGCAATTAGATAGGAATAGTTTGAAAAGAAACTTGGATTATCCTTAGGGTTAGAATGAAAAGAAAAACTTGATTATCAGTAAGAAAGGACCTTGCACATAAATCTGTGAGCATGATGAGAAACTGATATTCCTTCTTCTTGCATGGATGGGTAGGTACTCAAGAACTGCTGCCCTTTCATAAGGAATGTGGCCATTTTCTCATCTCTGGAAGCTTTGACTCTTACAAACAAATATCTCCTCAGGTATCATGAGTAGTTCAGTCTTTGAGAAGGAACTACTGTATACATGTCTCAGAACAAAACTTCTTACTTCCTCCATCCCTGCTCTACAAAGCTTTTGAGGAAAAAATTGATTGTCATCTATGAATAGATCTAAATTTATGCATCCCTCACCACACAGCAGTTTGTCAATATGAATGGATTCTGGGTGACCTACTACCAGCTACCCCTCATCCTGGAGTAGAAGCGTTTCCTCCCTCATTTTCTATTCATCTGTCCTCTCCCTCTCTCCCTAACATAAAGAAGGCTGTATTAGAGCGGCAAAACATTTGACTTTGAACTGTCACAAGCCAACAAGCAAACAGTTGCAGAACAGTTTTCATAACGGTCATGGTGAATTTGCATGTCACTTCTGATTAACATTTTCCCTTTTACTAGTGAATTGCATCTGCAAACATGGTGGTGACAGGTCTGTTTAGCAGGGAACTTTAGTGTTCACACTTGTTATTGCAAAAGTGTCACTAATATGTGGCCCAGAAGTAAAGGGTCATTGGTAATCTGCTTCTCCTAGAATAGCCAGAAAGGCAAAATAATCATTGGACTGTTTATACTGCATTGTGTAAAAAGAAGATTGAATGAATGAGTGAGTGAGTGAGTGGGAGAAAAATAGTATCCACCATATTTTGCTCTGTTTAGGAGAGGAAAGAGAGTTTCATCCAGTGCATTAGTAACATAAGCATCACACATTTACTAAGCAACAGTTAATGAGATTTTTTAAAATGTTGATATTAAAGCATCTGGTTTGATTCGAAGAGCAGTGATTTTTGAGCAATTTTTTTAGTACTAAAACTTAGTTTCAACAGTATCTTGATGGGCATGGATAATGGTCCTTGCTTTTCTTAATACTGTAATGTCACAATTCATTTTACAAAAAACAGGCAGGAATTCATGCTGATGACAGAGCAATGATCAACTGTGACAGAATGTTTGCTAAAACATGCAGATAAAGTCACTGACAAGACAAGGAAATGGTCCTTCACACTAAGTGCATTAATCCTTGGAGAGAAAAATACCACTATAGAAACATATCAGTAGATTCATGCAGTGCTGTACTATTTAAGAAATGATTTTAGGATTGAAAGCTTCTAGCAATTTGGGTCTGTTGTAAATTTGTGTGTTTGGGTTATGCATATCAAATACATGATACTGTCTCATCTAACATAAGGTTTTCTTTACATGATTGTGTCTGACTAGGTCATATTTACTAAAGACTATCTAGAGCTCTCTTTGGGATGGTTTCTTCAACTATCTGGCAATAATCATTTTTGACAAACTTCACTTGCAGCCTTTTCTGAAGTGTATTTAAAAGAAAAACAGGTTGTACCTATCAGTGTATAGGTGGTGTAAAGAAATACTATGAATGGGAGATACTGAATGGGAATTTAAGAACAACCTACGTTGTCAACATTTTATTTCAGAACCAGGGGATATTAAGCTACAAGACTTGCAACCTCACCGATTTGGCTAATTGTTATGTGTCCTAGGTAACCCAGCTGGTTTTAAAATAATTCCTTGTCCAAGAAGTAGTCTTAATTTGGCCATTCTGGTCTGCCATTCTTTTTCCTCTACTTCAGTGCTTCCCAACCTTGGGTACTCCGATGTTCTTGAACTACAACTCCCAGAAATCTTGGTCAGCACATCTAGTGGTGAAGGCTTCTGAGAGTTTTAGTCTAAGAACATCTGGGAACCCAAGGTTGAAAACCACTACTGTACTTGCTATGTAAATTCTGCTCTCTGTAGAGAGCCAAGGATATCCAACATCAATGCTATAGCTCACTTTTTGAGAGAGGAAGAGTGTGCTGTGATACTTGTTACCAATCTTAAAAGTACTAATAATTACAAATATGAGTTTGGTTTTTTCGTTTAAATGCAATGTGTACTATTCTAAAGATTGAAGATGAATGATTTAACCCCATATAACACTGGCAATTCATGAAGAAATGTAGTTCTGTCCTTGCCTGAGTATTGGACTGGTATTGGATATTCTTCATCATGGTCTCTGTTGTGGCTCAGAATGACATTGTCAGATAATTTTTTTCAAAGATGCTGACAACCTGTTTTCCTAGACATGGGGAACAGCTTAAAAAGTTTTACACAAGCACTTGTGCCTGCATGCACGCACACATACAGAGAGTTTTCTGGGGCTTTAATTGAAATGGTCTTCTCTCAAGGGCCTTACTGGTGCCTCTTGTCTTCATGTCCTGGGAACGTCTAGAAGCGGGATTGCCTTTTGAAACAGTTGTGCATGAGGCAGCCAGAGGTGCATAATGACACTCTTGTTTAATGTGATAAGCAAAGGACTATTTGCCTCATGGTAGTGGCTTCCAAAGATGGCTGGTACCATCAGTTTGTATTCTTGAATAAAATATCTTCTCTTTTCCGGTAAATCTTTTTTGTACAGTGTTTGTTGTGTGCCATGTATCAAAGAAGCATTCATGTTACGTAGGTGGTTGATAATTAGGTACTGATACAAAGAAGCACAGTTTCAGTGGCAGAAAAGGGGGAGTTAGATGAGGAGAATTATGATGTGACACTTTTTTCCTGTAACTTTTATAAAATTAAAAGAATCTTCTAGCTCTACACACGGGTTGTGTGAAACTTTTTTTTACAGGCTCTTTCAGCCCAAGAATGAATGGTTATTCTGTCTAGAAATGCTGTGGACATTTGGGTTAGCCTTCTCAAAGTGCACTGTATATTTACACTGTAGCTCTGTTGTGCTGACATTGCAGTAGTAAGCACACATTTAAAAATCAATGGGAAAGCACAACTAGGTTCCTTTTTTAGTGCTTTACTGAACTTTTATAAGTGAAGCATCACGATGTCCTAAAAGTCACAGACGTGCTGTATAGAACTCCTGTTAAACAAACAACAACAACAACAAACTCCTGGTTATTTTTCTGCTTTTAAAAATAAAATTGGTAATGGAAATACCTTGCTTTAAAATACAAGCTCTGTGTCTTTTTTCTCTTAAGGTAAAGGTAAAGGTTCCCCTTGACATTTAGTCCAGTCGTGTCCAACTCTAGGGCGTGGTTCTCATCCTCGTTTCCAAGCCGTAGAGCTGGCGTTTTTCCATGGACACTTTCCATGGTCATATGGTCAGTGTGACTAGACGCGCAATGCCATTACCTTCCCACCGTGGTGGTACCTATTTATCTACTCGCATTTGCATGCTTTCGAACTTTTGATCTTACAACTGCTGGTCTTCTGACCTTGCAGCACAGAGGCTTCTGCGGTTTAACCTGTAGTGCCACCACGTCCCTTACCTTTTTCTCTTACCTTGGAGCTAAATTTTGAAAATATATTCTATTTTTCTTGTATTTTATTGGTGCCTATGGAGCAGTAAACACAACCTTGAATGTGTTACTACAGGAATGATTTGGTGGATCCACTTGTCAACATTTAAGGCTTTCTAAACAGTTCATAGTCCTGATGGGCAGCCAGCATCAAATCATATAGACATATTCAACTACCTGCATCATTCTGAGTTTTAACTTAAAAACAGTCAATTAGACTTGAGCACATAAGTGTGTGTGTTAAGAAGAGTCTTCATACAGAAGTAGATGCTGTTTTTAGCTTGCTAGGTAATGTGGGGAGATACTAACAAGGACTGCTTATAATTATGATTTATAATTTCACTTTCCTTTTCTGCTTTATTTCTTCTACATGGCTTCAGACTAGAGGTCTGAAAGGTCAGAAATACAATACAAAGATACTAAGATGATTGCTTCTCCACATCAGGACTAGGCAGCTGTGAGCTTCTATGTATTTAATGCAACTCCGTTGTCCTTTACCACTAGCTCTTCCAGCTTAGCTTGCTTTGATCTATAGTCCAGAAACATGTGGAAGACCACAGCTGGTCACTCCTGCTGTCATTAACAGTAAGGTTAAGGGTCCCCTGATCCTGTTCCCCTTATGCATGGGTAGGTGTTGAAACCAGGGGAGGGAGTATATCTTTGAAGATTCTCAGTCATCCAGGTGAGGTCATCTGGCTTATTAGGTTGAAACGTTTTGCTACTCAGGAGAATTGGTAGGAGACCTCTTGATATGTCCTCCATGTTGGATTTCCCCCCTGCCTATTCAGACAGGGGAGGATATTTTTCTTTGTCATGGACTCTGTACATCACACATGTGGGTTAGTCTTGCACATGCACAGAATTCTTAAAGAGTCTTCTAGAGTGAAAGCAAAAGCACTTTTGGGAGACATACCACCATCCCGAGTCCTTTGTTTGGTACTATCTCTTGGATCTCAGGGCATGCCAGGAGGCTTTCTTTAGGAGTATAGTTATATCTTTTGATACTCTGGTAGCACCGCCACCTGTTAAGTCAAATGGCTTGTCATTCATATGTACAGGATGATGCACAGAGACCACAACAAAGAGAAACAAGTTGCTTAGCTGTAGCTGGTTATACATGTGTTCACGTGTCCCACCCTCCATCCCACTATGGGATCAGTGGAAGTAACCTGCAGGGCTACTGCTTTCACAGTGGCCCTTCAGGCATGCGAGCAAGCCAGGAGTTCTGCATATTTATCCTGCCAGTTAGGAGGATGAGGTTCCCACTAAATCGCTTTTGCTTTAGCTTTCAGATATTTGTACATGTGCAGGACTAACCCATATGTATAATGCGCAGATGACCACTCAAAAGAACCAGAGTTACGGGTAAACAATCTGTTGTTTCATTAAAATCTTCTGAAAAACCCACAAACTGGCTCCCTACAAGTTGTGTTCCTAAGAAATAAAGATCGCATTCCTATGATGACCAGATATGCTGGTATTTTAATTGTAATGGGATGAAGGGAGGGAGATTGGTTTTTAAAAGCCTCTGCTATAGAAAACAACAGGATACATGTAGAAGTGATAATGGGTGCATTCTTGCACTGCATGCTCTCTACAATGATAAGTTATGAAGTGCACACCAATCTAAAAAAATTCCTTGGGTAAACAGGAGAAACATATTCCAGAAAGCTGTATTCAGGCCATAGTCTTGTATTATTTCTGCAACATACAAGAACATGTGCATTTCTAGTATTGTAACTTTAATAGGTAAATGCATAGTGTTACACAGTTAGCCTATTCCTTACTTGATTTCTTAATGTGATCAAGGCTCAAAATGTATCTGCTTATTGGCTTATTTTATTGGCAGTGAGGACAAGTATCCTTGCAGGAAGTGTTGGAAGACCCATGAGGAACATTTAGCCATCTATTAGGTTAGGAACGCATACCCCAAAAATACACACAAAAACACTTCCTTGCACTCTGACTTTTTGCACACTAAACAGCTGTGGCAAATTCAAGTTTTACTGTCTGCCTTTTCTTCAGGGAAAAAATGTATTGCCAAAATGAGGTTTTAAGACATTCACCTAATGGTCTGCCCTGGATATTTGCTTGCACACTTGCTTGTAAGAGAGTATGCCAACTGCTAAGTTGAGAGTGTCCCTTTCTGCCATGGTACTGTTTTTGCACAGTCCTGGAGGGTTCAACCAAAGTCCGGCATTTTGTCTTTGGTGATTTAAGTTCCATGTACACGGGGGAGAGATTCACAGAAAACTGCAAAGGCTCTGTCTGCATTTGTTTTTTGCTGTTTCTAACCCTTCTTAATCCTTTGATGACTCCTAAAGAATAGCCCATGTCCCTTCAGTTTAAAAGGTGTATCCTGGATCATTCCCCATGTAAAAGAGACCCCTTCCCTCCATCCTGCTCTCAGGTGAGTACTATCTTTACTTCAACTTCAACTCCCTAATTTTGTACATTCTACTTCCAAGTTAACCTGAAAACTGTTCCCTGTACCCGACTGGATCAAGGTACTACGTATTCACATGTTGGTCTCTTTCTCCTATGAGGTTAGGGTCCATGTGTGTCTGTCTGAGTCCTTGCACCTCCTTACTCCTATATTAGCATCTCCTTCCTCTTCCCTCTATGCCTTTTCCTATTTCTTCCTTAGACGTTCAGAAAACAATTACTAGCCTGAATGCTGTTCGAGTTATTATTGTACCTTTGTTTAATAAACTTTGTCTTTAAGTATTTGAGACTCTGGCTGGTTGTCTTTGTGCTGCTTCCCTTTCTGTCTGCCTTGAACCCTGGCCATGAGATACCATGGCTTTTGGCTAAATTCCAGCATAATGTCATTTTGTTACACAAGTCTTATGTTTACAAGCTTCTGAATGAAAAGCTAGAGGAGGAAGACTTCCAGAAGCATAGGAGAGGCTCTGCTTTATAACTAATACAATTTAATATTTATTTATTTAAATAAATTGAGTCATAAACAGTCTGGGTTACTCCTCCCGCTTTACAAAATACATTAGGACAGAAAGTTTATGTACTTATATATTATTTTCTCTTTTGAATAACAATTAAAAAAGAACTTAGTATTTTGTTTACTATTATTTTGTTTATAGTATTTTGTATATAAAAGAACTTAGTATTTTGGAGTATTTTCTCCAAAAAGGAGATTTAAATATTGATACAGCTTAGGACAATCACTTCTCTTTTTGATCTCCTTGAACAATTTGCTGGAAGGAGATATTCCGTGTTCTCTGTATTACATGTTTAATTTTTGTGATTATAATTTTCTGGCTGCAGGAGGCTCTGTTCTTCCAAGTGTAATTAAAGTACACTCAAATCATTTTCAGTTTCTTCAGCTTCAGCTGCAGCTTCAGCCTCAGCCTCCGCTGCAGCCTTAGCCATTTGCCTCCTCAGCTTCTCTTTAGCTTTCCTCTGTTGTCTGTCAATGCAGAAGATGGTAAACATCTTGAACTCCTTGTAGTTTAATTGCTAATAATGAGAGAGAGAGATTTAATAGGAAGTTAGTGAAATATGAATGCCTGGTTTATGAAGTAAGCTATAAAAACTCGGTTTCAGCTCTGCACTTAGAATCTTAGAACTGCAGAACTGGAAGGAACTCTATGGATCATCAAATCCAGCTGCTGTCAAGGAAGCACAGTGGGGAATCAAACTCCCAACCTTTGGCTCTGCAGCCAGATGCCTAAACCATTGAGCCATCCAGCATGCCTTTTTTAGCCCACTCCCCATTTTAGTCTACCGTCTTCCCTTCTCAAGTTTTTGCAGCTAAACCTCAAGACTCCAGTCATGTCCAGTCACTAGAACTAAGGGTAATATGCCATGAGAAGCTCAGATTTGCTTTAAAGCGGTACTCCTTTAAATTATAAAAGATTTCAGTCATGCCACAAGCTTTTCCACCTCTGTCTTTTGCTGAATGTGTTGTGCGTTTTGACCCTAAATAATAAAGCCCTTACAATTAAAGGGGTATGCTTTCCGTAGGCTTTTATAGAAAATGTATCAGTCCCTAGCTGTAATTTATACATAAGTTTCAGTATTCCGACAAAATTATCTACAGATAACCACCAGATTACTTTTATTCTGGAATAATGGGAAAAAGGAGTGATGGTAATGATCACAGAATTATAGAGCTGGACAGGACCCTAGGGTCATTGAGCCCAACCCCCTGTAGAAGCAAAAAGAGACAGGTTACTTACCTGTAACCATGGTTCTTCAATTGGACCTCTGTGAATTCACACAAAAGGGTTAAATCAGCACCTGGCTGGACCTCTTGGAATTTTCTAGAGCTGAAGAGAAAAGTAACAAAGTTTAAGTTGCACCTAATAGTGCATGCTCCGCCCACCTCAGCCTTCAGTTCCATTTATCCGCCGTAATATCTAGAGTTAAGCTAGACATACTCAGTGACGGATAGTGGAGAGGCTGGACAGGATTGTATGAATTCACAGAGGTCCACTTGAAGAATCATGGTTGCAGATAAGTAACCTGTCTTTCTTCAGCGTGGCCTCTGTGAATACACACAAAAGGGTTACTAGCAAGCCCACTTACCGGAAGGTGGGACATCACTGGAGTATAAATGTTAACACTGCTCTCCCAAAGCTCGCCTCTTTCTTAGCCCTCAGGTCCAACCTGTAGTGAGTGATGAAGGTGGAGGTTGGACCAAGTGGCAGATCTACAAATGTCAGGAATGTCAATGCCATGTAGGAGGGCAGTAGAAGTAGCCACGGCTCTGGTGGAATGAGCTCTCAGGCCATCAGGTGGATTCCTATGTTGGACCTCATGTGCCAAGGAAATAGTAGAGACAAGCCATCTGGATAGGGTTGAGGAAGATGCTGGGGACCCTTTCTTAGTGCCATAAAAACAGAGGAATAATTTGGGCAAAGAGCAGAAATCCTTGGTGCGGGAAAAATAAAATGCTAAGGTTCTTCTAACATCAAGGGTGTGGAGCATGTGCTCAACATCAGTCTTAGGGTCAGGAAAAAGAATTGGTAAAATTAGGTTGATTTACATGAAAATCGGAAACTACTTTCTGTAGGAAAGAAACATCAGGATGTAGAATCACTTTTTCTTTAAAGAACTGGAGATATGGTTGGTCTGAGCGAAGGGCTGCAAGCTCACTAGCTCTTCTTGCTGAAGTGATGGCCACAAGGAATAAAACTTTGAAGGACAGGAGTCTAAGGTCACAGGACGCCATAGGCTCGAATGGTGGCCGAGTCAAAGCATAGAGCACCACCTGAAGTGACCATTGAGGTATAGGTGTCTTTGTAGGTGGCCTCAAATTGGTCAGGCCTTTAAGGAATGTCTTGAGCATAGGATGGGAGAAAAGGCGTGCAGAACTTTCCCTTGGTTGGAAAGATACAATAGCAGCTATGTAGACCTTCAGAGTTGACAGAGAAAGGCCAAGATCAAATAAGTGGCGTAGATATTGTAGCAGCGTGGAAAGTGATACCGGAGAGGTTTGTAGATGTTTAGCCTCTGAAAAGCGAACAAAACTCTTCCACTTGTAATGATACAGGCGAGTTGTAGAAGGTTTCCTGGCACTATCTAGGACCTCCTTGATCGAGGGGAGATCTTCCAAGCTGCCAGATGCAGCGTTTCCACATCTGGATGGAGAACAGAGCCGGCACCTTGTGTGAGAAGATGTGGTAGAGGAGGGAGCCTGATCATATCTGATGACATTGATTGAAGAGTGGGAAACCAAGCCTGTTGAGGCCAGTATGGTGCCACCAGAATGGCCTCTGATCTCGTTTCGCGTATTCTGATGAGAGTCCTTTTTATTAGAGGGATTGGAGGGAACAGGTAGAGTAGGCCCTTGTTCCATGGGATCATAAATGTGTCCCCCAGGGAGTCCATCCCGTGACCTGTTCTGGAAGCATAAAGCTTGCACTTTTTGTTGTGATGGGTCGCAAACATATCTGCCTTGGGATGGCCCCAGCAACAACAAAGGGAGGTGTATACTTCGTTGTCCAGTTCCCACTCATGTGATTGAGATGTCAGTCTGCTTAGTTTGTCTGCTTCCTTGTTGTCTGTAGTGGAGATGTGAATGGCTACTGGAAACACGTGGTGGTAGCACCACTCCCACAGGTGGATTACCAGAAATTCCCACAGGTGGATTTGGAGCGCGTTCCTCCTTGTTTGTTTACGTAGTACATGGTCATGGTGTTGTCGGCGACCAGCTGTACACCACGACCCTGTATTAGAGGGAGGAAGGATTTGAATGCTTTTATCACAGCTAGGAGCTCCAGATGGTTGATGTGCATGTTCCTGTCTTGTTGAGACCACAGTGCATGGATCTGATGGTCCTTGCAATGTGCCCCCCATCCAAGGGTGCTGGCGTCTGTTGTAACTTGGATAGTCAATCTGATAGGCTTGAAGGGACGGCCGACCATGAGATGTGGAAGAAAAGTCCACCACTGAAGCTGTTGTGCCAGCTCTGGATAAACCAGAAGTCTTTTCCTTTGGATGTCCTGAGCTGGATTGAAGAGAGACAGGAACCACACTTGTAGGGAGCGCATCTTTAGTCTTGTGTGAGTCAAGGCAGGTGTGGTGGAAGCCATGAGCTCCAGGAGGTGTTGGGCCTTTTGAGCAGACACCCTCTTGTTCGGTTTGAACCTGCGTATTGCATTGTTTATCTTATTCTTTCTGAGGGTAGAAATACTCTGGCTACATTGGCATCCAACCTGGCTCCTATGTAGTCTATGACCTTGGATGGTTTGAGAATTGATTTCTTTGCATTGACTGCGGGTCCGAGACTCTTCAGGGTGCGTAAGATAAACATGGTGTTTTTGACGGCTTGACGTCTGGATGGGGAGACGATCAACCAGTCGTCTATATACAGGTAAACTCTGATACCTTGAAGACGCAAGAAGGCTGCTACTGGTGCCATGCACTTCGTGAATGTCCTCGGCACTGTTGACAAACCGAATGAGAGAGCCAAGTACTGGTAGATGGTGTCCTGGAACACAAAGCGAAGATATTTTCTGTGGTTTGGATGTATGGTAACATGGAAGTAGGCATCCTTGAGGTCTACCATAGTGAACCAATCTTTTTTCCTCAACAGGTGGGAGATGGAGTCTAAGGTGACCATCCTGAAGCATTTTGCATAGAGGTAAGTGTTTGGACCCGACGCCAAAGAAGGAGCCGGAGATGCCCACCCGGTAGATACAGGGCTATGTGGGCAAGAAGCCAGACTTGTGGCAGCTTTTACAAGTTGGCTTGGGGTCGGTGAAGCTAGACCTGTCGAAGGAACAGCCTTCCACAGAATACATCATGCGGAAGGCTGGACTGGAGGAATCCCAAACTGAATTAAGATTGCCAGAAGAAATATCAACAACCTCCGATATGCAGATGATACCATTCTGATGGCAGAAAGTGAGGAGGAATTAAAGAACCTTGTAATGAGGGTGAAAGAGGAGAGTGCAAAAAACGGCCTGAAACCCAACATCAAAAAAACTAAGATCATGGCCATTGGTCCCATCACCTCCTGGGAAACAGAAGATATGGAGGCAGTGACAGATTTTATTTTCTTGGGCTCCATGATCACTGCAGATGGAGACAGCAGCCACGAAATTGAAAGACGCCTGCTTCTTGGGAGGAAAGAGATGACAAACCTTAACAGCATCTTAAAAAGCAGAGACATCACCTTGCCAATAAAAGTCCGAATAGTCAAACCTATAGTTTTTCCTGTCATGATGTATGGAAGTGAGAGCTGGACCATAAAGAAAGCAGACCGCTGAAGAATTGATGCCTTTGAATTGTGGTGCTGGAGGAGGCTCTTGAGAGTCCCCTGAACTGCAAGGAGCACAAACCTATCCATTCTAAAGGAAATCAACCCTGAGTGCTCACTGGAAGGACAGATCCTGAAGCTGAGGCTTCAATACTTTGGCCATCTCATGAGAAGAGACGACTCTTTGGAAAAGACCCTGATGTTGGGAAAGTGTGAAGGCAAGAGGAAAAGGGGACGACAGAGGATGAGATGTTTGGACAGTGTCATTGAAGCTACCAACATGAATTTGACACAACCCCAGGAGGCAGTGGAAGACAGGAGGGCCTGGCGTGCTCTGGTCCATGGGGTCACAAAGAGTCAGACACGACTAAACGACTAAACAACGACGACGAAGTGTTTAGGTCTCTTAGGTCCAAGATTGGTCTGATTCCCCCATCTTTCTTTGGGACTGCAAAGTATCGAGAATAAAACCCGTTTTGTATGTCACTTTTGGGCACCCTTTGAATGGCGTGTTTCAGAAGTAGAGAACAAATTTCCTCTTCTAGGACAGGGTTGTAAGTTGTGAGCTTTACCTGTCCCAAAGGGGGATAGTCTATCAGTTCTAGTCGATAGCCTGAGCGAATGATATTTAAAACCCAGGCATCCGTGGTTATCAGAGTCCAATTTGGTAAGAATGGACAAAGTCGTGTCGGGTGGTCCAGTCCGGTTAGAGGTAAGGAGAAGTCAAAGATAATGTTTTGACTTTTTCGCA